TATCAATGAAGTTTGGAGGCAGAAAGTTCAAAGTTATGAAACACTAGGAATTTTGGCAGAGTTTTCACAATGTTTTCTTGCTAGAGTTTTTTGGATTTTTTTGACCACCTTTATAATGGACAATGGTGTCCTATTTATAGGCAAGGCTTTGTGAATTTTTAAACGTTAAATGGCGCTAATACTATGCAGTAGGGGTTAACTTGTTCTTGAAGGAAGTTCATGAAAATTTGTGATGATGGATAGCTTTTCAGCCTAGGTTGGAACAGTAAGCGAGGATTAAGGAGAAGTGACACCCATAGGAGAAAAGTGGCGCATAGATCTATGCCCAAGCCTGCACGAGAGTGTTACTATGCCACACGTGGAGAGACCCCTTGGATGAATGCTCAAAAGTGGTTGTGAGCATTAATGAGCATTAAATGGTGATGAGATTTATCAAAATCAAAAATCTTGTAATAGGAGATTTTGCATCATTACCTAAAACCTGAGCCAGCAGTTCAACTTCACCAAAAAACAATGTAAACCAAGCTCTGACCTTGGCCTCTTGCTGCCTCAGCAAATTCTGAGAGTTTTCCAGACTTTCCAGCATGCTCCTTTGATCTGCCTCTGAAAACTCTGGACTTAGTGATTCTGCTTCAGTATTTTACCCAATTTGCTGATCCCATTAGCTTCTGATCCCAGTTCGTTCTGAAGGAGTTTCAGGCTTTGTTGCCTTCTTTGCATTTCTCTAGCAAACTCTGGCTGAACTTGCGTAACTGCTAAAAGAGCCATGTTCTGTTTAAAGATCACGTGCTGAACCACATTTATAACCCCTGATGAGTTGGTGTAGCTACTGAAGAGCCACCTTTTGACTGAATGTTATATGCTGAGCCCAGTTTGCAACTTCTGACCATTTCCGCCTGGAGGTTGGTTCAGAAGCTCTGAAGTGCCATTTTTTTCTTAAACACCTTTTTAAAAAAAAATTCTAAGTATTTAGAATTTAACTTTTTCAAGGTAAATTTTTTGACTTTTGAGCTTGCAAATGACCATTTTGCTCTTGTAAATGGTTTACTTGGAAAGGAATGATAATTCAGGGCTTTGATTTGTTTAAGAGAAACTCTGAGAATTCCGGATGAATTCCTGAAGGATGATTGGGTAAATTTTGGGGTACAACAGTTGTGATTGCCACTGTGAATTCTTGTTGATAATGCGAAGTTGCAGGGAATTTTAAATGATGATGAATTACCTCTATTTATTGGTAATAGTGGTTATATAGGCTTATGCCTTGCGATGAATGATGATTGTTGTGAGTATGTGATAGTGCATTCATTGAGCCATATACATTTGCATACTCTGCGATGACCTAGATTGGCAAACTATGAAGAAGGATTATGCCTTGTTAATGCCTCTATTTATTGGCAAAATTTTTAAGATGGGAGTTCTACTCCATTGGTACCACATGCATTTGCATAAAGATGAGTTGCATTCTGATTCGTTGCTTGGTTAATCTAGTTATGCTTATGTTGTTAAAAATTTGAGAAGTGGTGAATATGTATGAACTGATTCTAATGTTTTATTTGTCATGCATTCTATTATAATGTTCGATATCTCACCCCTTCCGTTTGAATGTTACCCCAATGTTTGTAACGTGCAAGTAATCTAGAGTGAAGGCGATTTAGCTTCAGTAGTTCGAGTCAGTGTCATTGCTCTGATACGTAATACTCGGGAGGATGAACACTTGTTGTTTTATTATTTTTATTATATCAGTTGATTGAACTTTAAGTTGTTGTTCTTTAAATGATTGTTATTTGGAGTTGTCTTAGTAGGATGAAGATGTCACATTCCTTTAAGTTGAATATTATGACTCTGTTGTGTAGTTATGAAAGTTGATGTTTCTTTTTAAGATTGAATTGTGTTTGCTGTTGGTTCATCCAAGTTTAATGTGTTATGTATCGATAATGAATGCCGTTGTTTTAAGTTGAATTTTTTGCATCCGGATTCAGTTGCAAATTTTTTATAACTTTGACTTATATATATTGTCGGGTAGAATTGGGGTGTTACATTAGTCAGTTGGAATCCCAAGGATATTTGTCTATCACCAGTTCTCTTACAATAATCTCCCAACATTTGTCGTGTAGAGCTTCTATCTCTTAAATTTCTTCCTTTGGTTCTTTCGTAAATTGTAGTGCGTCTCATTTAGCTAGACAAATTGTATGCGCTATTTTTTATTTATTTCTGGGTCTATCAGTATCAACGTCAAATCTGAACCTCACATAAACAAAAATAATACCTTAGTAGCACTGCACCAAACCAACAAAATTAAAGTAGAACAAAAATTAAAACTTTAAAATAAAGATTAAAAATTGAAAAAATAAAATAAAACAAAAATTAAATTCAAAACTTCACACACTATTGTTGTACTAGTCAAAAAGTATAAGTGTGCGTGTTCTCCCTGCAAAGGCATGGAGAATCAGAGGCCTAATTAGCTGGTTTATAATTATGTATGATGGTTAGGGCTTACCCACAACAATGAGAAACCCCGATAGATTTATGAGTCCTACTCACGTGAGATGAAAGGCTCTGTAGATGAATGATGTACTTATGTATAAGCTTCTAAGGGGGTGATTGATATGAGGTAACCACTATGCTTTTGGGATGGTAACACTTTGTATGGCTTAATATCTTTCATGTTTCCCTCAAGAGGAGATGTATTTATAGAGGTCCTTTAGGCCTAGGGTTTGGATAACCCCGAATGGTGGCAACCGCTCCCCCTAATCAAGAAAGGTTATTCACCACCTATCTTTCAGGAGTAGTGGAGGATTCCCTCTCCCTTAACTAGTATCCATACACATCATCAATACCCCTAGTCAAGTCTTTAACATATGTCATGAGTGGTACTTCTTTTTAGGCGAGGGCACCCTAGTTTAGGATCTTCACAAATATAACACTACATAGCCCCTCAAGCACGAGGGCTTAGCTAAGGACAGAGGGATTTTAATACACTATCTATATTTTGGATGTGCCCCTCACCCCTAGTAGTGAGTTATGAGGCTGGAAACTCTTTTAAAAATGGGTGAGTCACTCAATCTGAGGCGAGTACCTCAGTTGAAAATGACTATATCTATTGTGGATGAGTCCCCCAATCTAAGGCGAGTCCTTCAGTTGAATGAGACTGTATTTATAGGTGAATCCCTTAGCTTGGGACGAGTCCCTCTGCTGAAGGGGACTATATTTACAAGCGAGTCTTTTAACTTGGGGCAAGTCCCTCAGTTGAAGGCGACTCTCTTTATTGTTTAAGCCCTTAATTGGGGGGGGGGGTGAGTCATCTGTCATATGTCTCTTGATTAGCTAAAATATCAGTTGGTAATGTAAATCAATCACCTAACTTGTCACCCTTTTATTTTTCAAGACTCTAAATGCTAGGGGCACATGTCATAAACATGTCGAATTTTTTAAAAACCACGGGGGAATCCAAAGGATCCTTCACAACGTCCTCTATAAAAAAGATTTTCTCTTTCATTTTGTTTATTCTATTTTGTTTTTTGCTTTTACTAGCTGCTCTGACTCCATATTTCTTTGCTTGTAACCTTCTTTTATGTATGAATTTTCTTTTTCTTGCTTTCCATAGCGCATAAGTTTCATGAATATTTTTTTCTAATGGGATTTTTTATACTAACCATGGGGTTCTAGGTTAGTTTCTCCCTTTTTTACGACTACGACGGTGATGGTGATTCTTTTTGTTCTTCAGTTTCGTCAGGAACAAAAGAGAGAATGTCTACCCTTTTTATTGCATCTAGAGGTGCCGAAAACTTTGCTTCTAGTTACACTTCTGATCATATCCTCATCTTCTCGATCAGGATGTGAGGTTTCTTTTTTAGATAATAAAGACGAAGCTATTTTGGAGGCTTGCTCGTCGTTAGAGAAAGTGAGCACGTTTATTCCTCATCCTCCTCCGTATTTCTAATTCTACCTTCCTTTTGTCTAGTATATTGGAGTTCTTATCCCTCTTCCCCCATTTTGTATGGAGGTTTTAAGGGTCCTTAATACGGTACCCTCCTAGTTGTTCCATAATAGTTGAGCCTAAATCAAGGTTTTATAGATGGCCTGTGAGGACCTGGTCATCACACTGATCGTGGGAGTCTTCTTTTCTTTCTACACCATAAAACCGACGAAAAGTAGTTGGGTGTCTTTGAGTAGTCATCATGGGAAATGACTTTTCTTGTCTCATTCCAATCATCACAGGTATTGAAAAAATAAGTTTGCTCGTGTGGGGGTGTAAGATGGTTCCCTTGGGGTTTTAGGAACTGATGGGGTCCCCTTTTTCTTTTGTCCTAGACGAGCGATCCTATAGTGATCACATGGTATTAATGAGAGTTTCTTACTATTTAGGGAAGGAGGATTGTCCTCTATTTGCTGTTGTTTAACGTTATGGATTGTCGGGAGGTGGTTAGACTCTGCTTAGAGGGCATAAAACATCTCACCGCCTATTTGGGTAAGTCACCCACTTCTCTCTCTTTGCAAGTTTTATAGATGACATTTATGACTTTTATGCCTTATTTTGCAGATCAAATGGAGAGGATTTCTACAGAGGAGAGGATGTAGAGGTGGGAGAAACTCAAGTACACTAGCTCAGGTACCAACATCCCCAGGGTCACAATGAGAGTTTCATCGTCAAAGGGAAGAAGAGGCACACTGGGGATTCAGCTGCAAACTTTTCCAATGTAAAGGTTAAAATATTGGGGGAGGGTTCTTCCTACACTGTTGTGAGTATGAGCGCCTAGGAACCTCCTACAGGAGAGGCTCCTCAGTCTCCTCTGACTTTATGGAGTGATATGGGTTTCAACACTCTCTGATTTAAGAGCTCTTATCTCCCCTTCTCCAAGGAGTTCGCCACATATTACCAGGTCATTCGTTCCAAATTAACCTCGGTTATTGTGAACATGAAGGAAAACATTTTGCTGAGGGCGCTCATGCTGTATGATATCGACTGAGAGAGGCGCAACAACACTGAGAAAAAGTTAGAGATGAAGCTTCAAGCACAAGTGGAGGCTTATAATGAGACCAAGAGGCTGCTGCGAGTCCTTAAGGAAAAAAAAGGAGAAATTGGAGAAGAAAAAGAAGGATGTGGAAGCCAAAGTCAAAGAAATATCTGCAACAAAGGAATCCTTACCGGGGTCCCTAGATGTCACCCTTCTTCATCAGGAGGACTAGGAGAAGCCAGTGTCGAATCTCATCGATGATGCATTATCTACTTCAAGCATACATAGGAGCATATCCTCTTTCTCTTCCCCAACATTGACTTGAGTCAAATGGATTTTCTCAAAATTATTTGTGGTTGCGAGCTGGTGGATGAGGAGACGATGGCCTCCCTTAAAAGTCTCCATCCCATCATCGAGGACACTCGTGGCCAAGATGGGGCGATGATGGACTATGGTGAGTCTAAGATCCCTCAGCCAGGGAGGTGGTAATCCCGAAGGATGAATGATAGTTTAGTTGTTTTTTGGTCCTTATTGGCCCTTGTATTTCTCTACTTCTTTGGGGATTTTTGTTGTATTTCTCTGCCCCTTCGAGGGCTTTTGTAGTTGTACTGAACAACGAAGTCCCTTGGCGGTGTCTTTTATATTAACCACCATTATCATTATTTGCTTTTTTTCTTCCTTTTTTGAAATAACTTGATTACTTGAAAAGAGACTCGACCAGGATCCCGTTTTAGGGATTTGGTGTTGTGGTTGTCTCTAAAGACGACAAGAATACAAAAAACATCCAAAAGTTTGTAACATAAATATATGGGACTGTGTACGAGTATTTTTATTAAGAAAATCACAAGTTTTCGTTCATTTAAGGAATTAAACTCGAAAAAATCACAAGGACAATTTGTACAAAACAATTTAAGAATGTGTATTCACGCTTGATAACGTAGTATTTCAAATGTAGAACAATTTAATAGAAATTTCAAGAAGATGCAGGATTGCTTAAAAGGATAAAGTAAATGCATAAAGTTAGTACAACAAATCGAATGAAAATACTTCAATCAAAAGTGGGACACAAGTTCATACATTTCTCACAAATTCTAAATCTCTATGACTTGAATGTGTGAATTCTAAAGAGAGGAGAATGAAAATGCGAACCCTTGTCACAGAGACGAAAACTGTTTATATACTATGTACATCAATAACCGTCGACAATAGTAAACTCTCCAGCACTCGACATGTAACTATAACGTGACCTTTTTGTCTTCTACTTCACTTCCACGTATATTTAGTTCTTGAACTGCTTAAAATTGTTGCTAGTGTCAAAACTATCTTTAAATCTTTTTACTGTCATTGTCGAAGAGATCTCATGTCAAATCTTGTGGCATGATGTCGAAAAACATGATTCAGCTACATGTACTTAGCCAATGTATTTTATCTCACATCTCCACTCTCGTCGAATACATTGAGACGAAAATCTAAGACGAACTAGAACACATCCTAAATAATACTCCCTCCATTCATTTTTAAGTGTCATTTTTGTGAAAAAAAATTATTTCTTTTTAATTGTTCATTTCAAAGTTCAAAGTAGTAATGATTACAATTTTTTCAAAGTTACTCTTAACTATTTATTATAGAGAGAGAAAAGATCCATTGAAATAACTAAAAGTTAAGGCTATTATAAACAAAATAAAAATCATAACATGAAAAGTAGCAATAATTATAAATTTTTTTAATATGTATAAAAAAGTAAAAAAATGACAATTAAAAAGATACAGAAAGAATATAATACTAAAACTTTTTATTAAAATATGATTTTAAATTTTTTTAAAAATTTAATACATTGTAGATATTAATTTTGGGTCATGTTAACCACTCTTTTGAGTGTACTCTTTAAGGACATCAAATAAAAAAAACATTCTTTATAAAAATTAATTATTTCAATTTCCAATTCATTAATTACACACTTTTTAAAAAATCTTACTACTTTAAATACTTAAATAGTAATTTAAAATACTCATTAACATTTCTCATTATTTTTATATTAAACTCCTTAATTTATGCTTTATGACACCATGATCCATCTAACATAAATTTTAAAGCACTTATTATTATTAGTGATTAGAGATCTAAGATTAAATTAACAGTGAATTGTATTTTGTGATTAAAATATTTATCATAAAACGAAGTGGAAAAACAAAAGGAATTTAAGAAGAAAACAAAAATTGATAAGAGGAAGAGAAAATAGAATTGAGAAAAGATGGAGTGAGTAGAAATGGGGGAGGTTGTATCAGTGCAACACAATAGAAGCTTCTGAAACAAACTACCCCCTTCACCCTACATCACCTTCTTCTTTTCCATTATTTATTATCCCCCCTTTTCAAACCCTAACGTCACATCAATTTCCCTTTTCATTCAGTTATCGAATGCGCTAGCACCTTCCTCCTGAGTCTCTTTCCGATGGCTTCATCGGAGATCGAAGTCGTATCCACGGACTCCAAACCCCAAGACCACCAGCTACCTCCCATACTAGACGTCTTCACTGCCTCTTCTCATGGCGACTTTCAGAAATTGAGATTTTTCGTTGAACAAGACGCTGCGTCAGTTTCTGTTCCCGATGTTAATGGCTATTATGCTCTTCAATGGGCTTCTCTCAATAACTTCCATGAAATTGCTCACTATCTCATTCAGGTAGGTGGTACCTTCCACCTTCTTTTTCTATTCATCATAGCAAAATTGGGCATTTTTTTTGTTTCTCGTATAATTCAAGTTGATTTTGCCTTTTTATGCATCAAGTTTAATTTTTTTCATGATTTGTTTTGGTGTGTGATTATGGGTCAGGCTGGAAAATAGTAGTGTTTGTAAAGTGTGGCATTTAAGACTCTAAATTTAGGAAATATCAAATTAATTATTGCCAGAAAATAGTAGTGTTTGCCAGAAAATGCCAATGGTGTCTTGCAACTTAATTATTGCTGAAGTTAGATTGTTCTTATAACATGGAACTGTGCTGAATCATCTTTAATTTAACTGTACGTTGGTGGCTTATTTTGAAGCATGGTGGTGATGTCAATGCTAAAGACAACATGCAACAAACTGCTTTACATTGGGCAGCAGTTCGTGGTTCAGTTGCAGCTGCTGATGTGCTCTTGGAGAATGGTGCTCGGGTTGAAGCTGCTGATATCAATGGATACCGGGTATTTTTCCCCTCTCTGCTGTACATTCTTAATTATATGTGCGTGCCTAATTATTGTTTTGATTGTTTTAGTGATTCCATAACATTTTCAGGAGGGTTTATTTGTTCTGTGTAATTAGAGATGTTCCCAATCTGGAAGGGGTTGGGAGTTTACATTTAAAATTTGTGCATTTAAAGTCAAACACAAATTTGAAGTAATGAGTAGTGACCATTTGTTAACTGATACTCCAAGCTGTAAACTGAAGTCAACCACCAACGTCCGAATTTATGTACTTAAATAGCAACTGTGTACCACATTTTACTTTTTACACTCTATCTGATACAACATATATTTGAATATTACAGCTTCACCTTACTAGTTAATCAAAATTATCATAATTTTTCGAAAGATGTATAAGCATTTAAGTTGTTCTAGCTAATAAACAATATCTATTTGGAAAAAGGAAGCTAGATAAGAATTTTGTTTAATCAATATATACATTCTTGATTGGCATTCCTATATGTGAGTAGTTTTAATTCTAATTATTTTTTGTTTTCGTTTGCATAGTAGTCTAACTAATGATACACGCACAGAGATAGAGTTGGAGAGAAACAGTTATGTCTTATTTGGTTTGAAATTTTTTTCTCGCTTTTAATTACGAAGAGCCATCTTATTTTCGCTTTATATATTGCTTTCAAATATTTAACAATGAGAGCAAATAGGTTTTAGATCTTCTGTTTGATTGCACAGTCAAATACACTGTAAATTTTCAACAGACTCATTAAACTTGAAACATTTGCGAGTATTATTCTATTTACCTAATTTAAGTGGTTCATGCAGGCAGTTCATGTTGCTGCACAGTATGGACAAACAGCTTTCTTAAATCACGTTGTTGTAAAATACCATGCTGATTTTGATGTGCCCGATAATGATGGAAGGAGCCCTCTACATTGGTATGCCACAAAGGTCTTGATTGTTATATATTGGTGATGAAATCCTTTTTTGAAAGTAACTGATTGTCAATGTTATATTTCAACATATGTTCTTTTAATGCACCCATTATTAAATTACTTAAAATCTCTCCTAAGTACACAATGTACAGAATGCTTACACAATACAGAATGTATAGCTCTTTTTTCAAAAACAAATAATTTAATGGAGTGTTAACCAGTGAACAGGGCCCCATTTAATGCGTTTCAAAGAGTTTTAAGTACTTTAGATTTCTAAATTGTGTCTATTTGTTGAATTTCACTCTAAATATTCCCCTCCCTCCTAACTAATTATTGGTTCTGCATTCAGCAAACTACATTTGTTGAAGAAGTTTATTTTCTTTTACTTAGTTTCTTAAGTTCTTACGACCAGGGCTGCATATAAGGGATATGCTGATACAATAAGATTGCTTCTATTTAGAGATGCGAGTCAAGGAAGACAAGATAAAGATGGTATATTGTGCTGGCATTTAACAACCATTGCATTTTTTAAGTTCTCAGTTATGTACTCTATATCATATTATCCTTTCCTTTTCTATGTCTAGCTTTCAATATTTGGTGAGAACCATCCTGGAATATACATATTTGAGATCATTCTATCATATGCTAGAATAAATATCACTTATATTGAATTGATAATTTTGGTATTGGGTACTAGACAGCCAGGTGTTGCAAAAATAAAATATGCTATATGAGATTGGGCAACACTTTTAGACTGATTATTCTACTGGACTTTGATTTAGGACTTTCTGTACTTGTTTTGGTTTTCTTTTTCTGGTCTAAGGATTTCTTATCCCAACACACATTTTTACTTATGCTTATGTATAATGATAATGATAATAATAATAACTTATCATCATTATTATTATTATTGTTCTTATTATTATTATTATTATTATTATTATTATTATTATTATTATTATTATTATTATTATTATTATTATTATTATTATTATTATTATGCATAAGTTAAATATCATGCACACATTTTTATTGTCTTGTATTGCTAGTTGAACAACTTTTGAAATTTAGGGTGTTTCTGACCCATGAACAGTCTGATTTTGTTTGGAGCACTAATTTGTGATTATATATTGTGTACTTTTGATGATAAATCCATAAAAGTTTGAATGTTCTTATTAATTAGTACATCAGATTGAAATATTCTAATTAATACTTTTGAAAGGGGTCGTTTGTGTTTTTCTGTTTGTTGCAAATGCAAGTCGTTTGTGCTATAAATTTATAGTTCTGCTTGTTATTTTAGATTTTGATGAGATAATATTCAATAAAACTGGTTTAGGTTGTACCCCGTTGCATTGGGCAGCATTGAGAGGACATTCAGAGGCGTGTGCTGTGCTTGTGCATGCTGGAACAAAGGAAGAATTGATGGTGAAGGACAATGCAGGATTCACTCCTGTACAACTTGCATATGATAAAGGTCATCGACATGTCGCCCCTTTCCTTGTACGTACCATTGTATTGATAAGACCATTGGTTGTGTAGATTTTCAGGAACATTAGTTTTGCTATGAGTAGTAGATAATAGGTTGACTTACATGACATCTCATTGTTAAGGCATATTAATGGTTTTTATGTCTAAGATGTCCAGTGCACAATAGCCCTTCAGGCATGGAGCGTGGACAATATCCAGGCCTACCTAACCTTTTACTGAATTATAACTTTTTTAGTTTAGAAGAGTGGGGAAACGTGGATTAAACTCTAGGTTGCGTTCATCAGAGAGGCTTTGATACTATGCCACGAACGAACTGGCTCAAAAGTTATGGTTAATAAACGACACCGACCTAGAATGCGCCTTGCCTTGTTTTTTCTATTCACTGTTAAACAGCCTCCCATGCATTTTTCTAAACATGAAAATAAATCAATGGCATAAATAAATAACGAAAAGAAATCATGAAAGCTTATTTACATGGATTTTTCATTGAGAATTTTGATAGTTAAATGTACAAATAATGGGTTAATTGTTAAAACTTCAATATTAAGCTTTGGCTATATATAGATTTGTTCAATATTGAATGACTTTTTGTTAAGAGTTCCACATCGGACAATATATGGCATGAACATGTCCTTATAAGTGGGTGCAATTCTCATCCTACAAGCCGATTTTGTAGGATTGAGTTAGGCCTAACCACATTTCTTAACATGGTATCAGAGTCTTATTTAAGATCCGGTGGACCACATGCTATCAGGTTTTCTCTATTGAGCCACCCACCATTTATTTCCACGCTCATGTCCCGTCCTGGGCGTGAGGGAGTGTGTTAAGAGTCCCACATCGGACAATATATGGTACAAACACGTCCTTATAAGTGGGGGGCATGGACACGTCCTTATAAGTGGGGGCATGAACACGTCCTTCTAAGTGGGGGCAATCCTCACCTTACAAGCCGATTTTGTAGGGGGGTTGAGTTAGGCCCAACCACATTTCTTAACACTTTCCAATTGAGTATTACTGGAACATCTTTCTGCTAACTATAATGAGTATTAGATGTTTAATTATCTACTGCACGATGCCCCTGTATACTGGACTAATAGCTGTGCTAGAGGGCAAAGGGAGCTAGTTCAGTCTTCAGGTATTCAACAAGTGAAAAAGGATACCGGTTGATTATTGAAGGTGTATTGGAGGAAAGGTGCCTGGCTGCAGGGAATAATTCCCGTATAACTAACTTGGAGGAAAGCACATGACGTGTGATAGGTGGCACTTGGCAGAGAGAGAAAGTGGATCTGATCTGATTATTAAATGCAGAGGGAATGTTCAGTTGGAGGCAGGCATGAATTGAGTGGTCATCGCCTAAGGAGAGATTAAGCCTCTCAAAGAGCTTAGCTTTTATTCCAGTATTTTATTTTCTGTTTTCACCCTTGTTTTCATCAGCTAGATGCCTAGATTCCATTTGAACTCTATCTTGCATTACAGATAAAATACACTCTCATTTCCCCTATTTTCCACTATTACATTGTGTTTGTCTACTCTTAATACCACGTCGATGCTATTAGTATCCTTATAAGCAAAATAATTTAGCGGGTGGTGAATTATAGATCATATAATAGAAGTAATGTTCCTAAAGAGATTGTGGAAAACCTTGGAGAAAAAAGGGGTATAGGATGGATCAACAAGACTTGCCCCTGGTTTTCATTGACTTAGAGAAGATGTATGATAGAGTTTGAAGTTTTGGAGAAGAAAGAGGTTAGGATTGCCTATATTCAATTCGAGCTATCCAAAATATGTATGAGGCGGTTTCGACTAGTGTGCGGATACATGGTGGAGAGGAACAATTTTCCCAAATAATATGATTGCACCAAAGTTCAATCCTAAGCCCTCACTTGGAGATAAGTCTTAGAAGCGTATGACTTTTGTCTAAGCAAAAGTAAGACGGAGTATATAGAATGTAAGTTTAGCAAAAAGAGAAACGTTTCAAACTTAGAGGTTAAAGTTGAAGATCATATCTTACCATAAGTTTATACGGTTTAAATATCTTGGATCTAATGTACAAACGATGGAGAAATAGAAGGAGACTTAAATCATCAAATCCAAGTTGGGTGGTTGAAATGGAGGAAGACCTGACATGTTTTACGTGACAAGAAAGTACCGCTCAATCTGAAGGGATAATTTTATCGGACAACTATAAGACCGATGATGTTGTACGAGACAAAATGTTGGACGGTAAAAAATCAACAAGAAAATAAATTAAGTGTAGCAAAGATGAGGATGTTGCGTTGGATATGTGGTAAGACTAGGTGAGATAAGATTAAAAATGATAATCTTAGAAAGGGTGTTGGAGTAACACCAGTAGTAGAAAAAATGGTGGAAAATAAGCATAGGTGGTTTGTGCATGTAGAGAGAAGACTTGTGGTTTATGTCTTAAGGACAGTAGATCAGATGAAGAGTACTCAAACAACTAGAGGTAGAGGAAGACCTAGGAAAACTATAAGAGAGACTATTAATAAAGAACTTGAGGTTAATGAGTGGGATTAAAACATGGTCTTCAATAGAACATTGTGATATAATTTGATCCATGTAGCCGATCCCACCTAGTGAAATAAGACTTGGTTGTTGTATAATAGAAGTAATGTTATGTCTGGTAGGCTCATACCATGGTAGGCTGATACCAATGCACTTATGAATCATATCAGTTGATCTGTTTTTGCATACTTTTCGTTGTTATTACTGTTTGATGTATCCTTTACCGTTGAGTGACAAACAGTTAGATTAATTAACTGGTGTTACTTTGAGTTTCTTTACACTTCCGAAGTTGGTGAGGTGAAGAAAAAGAGTGGAATCTTTTATCTGGCAGAACTCGCTAACTAGAACCATCATACTTTGCTTTTGGATATTGCATGGGAACAATGCCCTGTTGCATTTTGTTTTTGCAGTTATACTCTTATTGTCTCTGTAACTGACTATAGTGTTCATTTATATTTTTGCAGTCTAATCAACAACAGGCTCATAGTAGTCACTGGAGAGGGAAGCTTTATTGTGGGATGGTGACAGATATTGGTTATGCTCCTATTTTACTGTGTATTATAGTTTCTCTCTCGATCCTCTTCATCAATTCAGTTGTTGCAGGTATTTTCAAAACTGTATTCCAATTTGCAATGTCCTTCATACAATGCACTCGCATTACTTGGAATAATTATATGCATATTACTTACCTTTACTACATCTTTTCTGTATATGCCAGCTCCTAACCTTAAAAAGATTACAGCTGTTGTTGGATTTTGGTCATGGATAGCTCTCTCTTCATCTGTTGGTTCCTTGATTATGTTTTATAGGTGTAGTAGGTAATTTCCTGTGTCATGCATTCTTTCTGCTTCTGTGTGTGATATGGTAATATAAATATATTGTCTTCCTATTTGTAACATTATATGCTTTGGATGCTCTACATTCTTCTGGTGCATGCCTGTTATTGTGTGGGTACTCCATTAAGTTTTTGAGGAACCCGGAAATTGGACTTAGGACTGAAACTGATAAGACACTTACTAGGCTCATTAAGGGGCAGGAAAAGGCTGGAACAAAAGAGGGTTTTTTGCTGGGTTTTAAGAGGGACAGGGCCATATTATTTGAAGAGTGTATGAGTGTAAGAAAAGAGAGTTGAGAGATAAGAGAATGGGGAAGCTGCCTAGCTGGAAGTTAGTTACATTTGGGTTGTTATAGGGGAGGAGATGGGAATAACCCTACGGACATAAGAATTCTGTTACAACCCAAGAGGGAAAGCAGGGGAAGAGAATTCTTATTGAAGAGCTTGGCTCTCGTTTGCTTGTAGAGAGCTCATACTTTATTTTTTATTGATTTCTAATACAATCAATTTCTCCATTTCAGTATTGTTTTCAATTCCTTTTCCCTGCTCTATCACATGAATGTAAAAATGATATTGGAACATTTAGCATGATTTTATTCATGTCGCATTTTCTTGGCAAGATGGAGCATCTATTTTTGCTTCAATACTACAATAATAATTTCATTTTCTGTTCATATGCACACGATATAATATATGCCTGCTATACACAATTGATGCTATTAAACACGTAAATGTGTTCTTGTATATCAGAATTTTTTTTCTTGATTTAATGTCTAAACTTACCATCGCCGCAAAATTTTGATGTTACCTTAAATCATATGCAGACGAGATCCAGGTTATATAAAACGACCAGGAGACTTGGGTACTCTGAGCGATTCAGAGGTATGTAGCCCTTTCATGATTTTTGTTTAAAACATGTTGCTTGTAAGTGACGGGTCTTGTTAAGAAAGACTTTCACCTAGGCCAAATTTTATCAAGGGAGAACTGTCATATTTACATAGGTCATCTTTCCTGAGTATTGACTGAGGTAGATAAATTAGATGTCCCCTAGATGAAAAATCACTAGAATTTATTTCAGCCGAAAATGGATGTGTGGCGAATTCTGTCGCATGTCAGGGAAATTAAATACTTGATGCAACTTCAAAATATTTCCAGTGCTTTGACTAAAGCATACTTTTATTGTTTTTTTCCTATAAATGTCACTTTATACTAATTAATACTTTAATATAGACATGTTTTCTTGTGTTTTAAAATTGTACAGTGAAAGTTACTTTGTTTTATTCTGCAGGATCCCTTGTTGAATATTGAGCTGAACAGTTCCTCTGTTTGGATGGGAAACTGGTCGCAACTTTGCCCTACCTGCAAGGTTTACTTCATGTGCATTCTTTTGAGTATTTGGAAAGTCTAATGATGATACTTACTTTCCTTTGTGTTATTTTATTAAATTCTCAAAAGAAGTGATCACTTATCAGGTTTTCTTGAATTGTATAATCAGATAATAAGACCTGTCCGATCTAAGCATTGCCCTACTTGTAAGCGTTGCGTGGAGCAGTTCGACCACCATTGTCCGTGGATATCTAATTGTGTTGGGAAGGTAAGTAGTGTGTTATTTTAATCTTTTTACCTATTAGAAGAAAAATCCATTCTTATGACAGACTTCTTTTATTCCTCCAAAGATTGATATATGATAAATGAAGTGGGGATTTCTTCTTCTTTCTCAATAGATATATTTCATTTGTAAAAAAAATATGATGTCTTCGACATTTCAGTAAAAGCAATAGCATCTATTCTTCTTTTGACGTTTCATATGAGCCTTAATATCGTAATTGATATTCATCTTACAGAGGAACAAAAGGGATTTCTTTATTTTAATCTGCTTGGGAACTATAACGTCTTCCGTCAGTGCCGCCGTCGCAGTTCATAGTATGCCTCACAGAGCTCTTTTTACAATGTTGTACATATTGAAGCTGAATAATATTTTGTTTCACCTGAACTAGATAATACCCTTGTTTTCCATGACAGGAATTTGGACATCCTTACCAGCATTACCAGCAGCAGGAGAAACATGGATTCATCAGGTGTTAGTAAGAAATCCAGGTCTTGTTGTATTTTTGGTGATGGACGCCGTTGTCGTCGTTGCAGCTACAACTTTGACAGTAACACAGGCTTCCATGGTAATTGTGTAAACCATACCTGCCAAGTAATCACTGAGGTTCTTGTCAATAATATATTAGAGAAATTGCCAAAGAGTTATTGATAAATATTTACCATGAAAGAAATGTAACATCCTAAATGTAACACACCTTTCACCAATTCTGTCACCTTTAGGTAAAGAGGAAGCAATTTACTGTCATGCGTACCAAATCTGACGGATTTTAAATATACACTGTGCACCTCCATCTCACTCACACCATTTATTTCTATTACTCATACAACTTGAAGATTGTTATATAATTTCATGTTTGCAAATTATGCTGCAGATAGCACGGAATGTGACCACAAACGAACTAGCAAATTCCATACGTTATGATTATCTTCGTGGTCCTGATGGGCAGTTCAGAAATCCATATAATCATGGTTGGTGGAAGAACTGTGTTGATTTTCTTTTTCTGGGCCACACAGATGATGATGATATTGCCTGGCCTCCATTACAGCAGGTGGCTATATAAAATAGTCTCCATTGCTGTTATACATCCTTCGTTATATTATTACTTGGTTCTAATTCAGATATATATCAGTCATTTGAAGGCTGTTTATTTACTGATACATGTACATTGGATTACAGCACAAAGTAATAAAACAACATTTTCTGGGTCCTCAGTAATCACTTTTTTTTTTTTTTATACATTGCATTCACTTTTTTTTTTATACATTGCATTCACTTTTTTTTTTTATACATTGCATTCACTTATGCCAATAGTGCAAGTGTTTCGTTACAATAAAAAAGTCTTTTAGATTTAATTGAAGTGCAACGGTGACAGCTTTAGTTATAGAAAATAGTAAAGCATGTATAGACTTTTACTATAACCTATGACTACAGGCTACTTTGGATTTTCTTGCGTTCTTACTAATTTGAACATTTTGAAAGCAGGTAATGGAATAAATACATAAAAATTTACCAGTTAAATATAGAACTCGTTGAACATTTTGACTTATAGAACTCATTTTTAAAAAATTGTTTTGTAGTAATAATTTTCTCACAAGTTTATTTTATTTTTACCATCTTATAATATTTTTTATAAGCTTTTTATTGGATAAGCTTGAAAACTAAAAGTTAATTCAACACTTAATTTTTTTTGTTATTTCATTTATTTTACTCTTCTCTCTCTATTCTTTTTTCCTTCTCTCTTGGATTTAGATCTTCTGCACTTTTTTATGATTTTTTTTTTAATAACTAGGTTTTGAAAAAAAAATCCTAAATAACCATGTTTCGGAGAAAATTATGCAAATAATCATGTTTCATGAAATCTTACAAAGGAGGAGCCATCTTAATTGACGCTTACACTTTAATTTAAAGGGGAGGCGCCATCTCACTTGGCGCCTAAGTGTTAAAAGTGTGCCCTAAGTCAAGTGAGATGGCGCCTTAGTGCAAAGGAGGGTCAATTTTTTTTTTTTTTTAATTTTAAATGCGAGACTTTACGAAAACGATATAAGATCACGAAAATTCGACTTTTTATTTACACAACGATTATATAAAAAAAATTACAAAATAATTAGTGATTCCCTGAAATTCGGTAATGACCCGCGGTTCCACATCCGCGTCCTCGCCTGTCTTGTGGTGGGTTTCATCGCGTTTCCTGTTGTGGCAAAGTCGATGACCCAACGAAGTCAATGCATTCCGAATTCATGAAATTCGTCAGATCTCCATATCTAGAAGATCTGCTTTGGTACAGTTGGTTACCCATACCCTCAAAGTTTGATCGTCTTGGTGGTGGATGGGGTGTCATGGTTGGCCTATAGCACGTGCGTCAATTCTACTCAATCACAAGATCATCAGAAACTAAATTATGATCTCATACGTCAAGAAATCATACCTCTCGCCAACAATGATCCATCATTGAAGGTGAAGACGGTATATAACTATACTCCGTCATACCGAAAGGCGTGGTTAGCAAAGACTAAGGCGATTGAAAAGGTATATGGAAACTGAGAGGAGTCATACAAAGAACTTCTTCGCCACCTGAATGCACTTCAGACTTATTCTCTGGGTACTGTTTATATTATGGAAACACTGTCGGCGTACGTCCCAGATGGTACTCAAGTCACCGAAAGTGAAATATTTAGTCGAGTGTATGGGAAATACAAAGACACGCTACTGATGGCAGTTGTACAAGATTGCAACACCAACATTTTCTCAATTGCCTTTGCTCTAGTCGAGGGAGAGAGAGACTGGTGGTGCTTGGAGTTTCTTTCTCAAGAATCTCCGAACACACGTGACTCCACAACCAGATCTCTATTTGATCTCTGATAGACATGCATCTATTGAGAGTGCATACAACATCCTGCAAACGGTTGACATGACCCTCCTTCTACGCATTATTGTATTAGACATATCGTCCAAAATTTCACGAGGGAGATCAAAGAAAAAGCTCTTAGGAAAGCGGTTATGAACGCAGAGTATGCATTAACACAACCTACGTTCAAACACTATCGCAACGAGATCGGATTATCAAATCCAAACGCAAGTAGGTGGATCGATAATATTCCGGTGAAGAAATGGACTAGGTCAAACGACAATGGTGGGGCCATATGACAACAAATCTGATTGAATCCATGAACGGGGTATTCAAAGGCACACGAAACCTCCCAGTAACTGCTTTGGTTAAATCAACATATTTTAGGATGACTTCGTTGTCTGCCAAAAAGGTGAAATGTGGAATGCTGTCTTGCAATTGGGACAGCTATGGAGTGAAAGCTGCATGAAGTATATTAAGGCGGAAAGTGCCAAAGTTAACACCCATCTGGTTATACGGTTCGACCGACACAACCACGACTTTATTGTCAAATAGACAATCGACCACAACGAGGAGCTGCCAAAACAAGAGTATAGGATTATATTACCTTCTCGTTGGTGCGATTGTGGAAAGTTTCAAGCCTTTCGTATGCCTTGCTCTCATGTCATTGCGGTATGTGCCTATACTCATCAAGACGCATTACAACTTCTATCTCCCATTTACAAGTCTGAAATCTTGCTCAATGTATACAATAAATAACTTTCCATTGGTAGCGAAACCTGATTATTGGCCTGCATACGACGACGACATAGTATGACACAACGACCAAATGCGAAGGAATAAAAATGACCGTCTCAAAAGCAAGTGCATAACAACTGAAATGAACCCACTTGACAAGCTAGAAAGAAAGTGTGGTTTATGTCGTCAGGTCGGACACAATCGCAAAAATTCTCCTACTCGGATTACTAACTCAACCACATAAAAATTGTATGCAAAACATCTTTACTTTTTTAAGTTCTTAACATTATGGTTTTTCATTAAGAGAATTTGTTAGAACAAACCTTGCGCAAACATAAAATAAAAACACGATAAAACGTCTAAGAAATTACAACCGTTAAAACAATTTCATCTGACCCATGCATCATTAACATTACGTCTCTGTCTGTTTTGACTTCCTCCAACCAAAAATTAGGTCTTCCTGTTGCAAGTGAGGTGGCTGTTCTTCTTCGTTGGATCCTTCTAATTTGTTCCCCATCCTCGATGTCTCCCTCTAGCCATCACATCAACTCTCTCTTCAGACGCTCCATGGAGTGAATGTGTCAAAATTTCATTTTCATCGGAGGTTTGGTGGCCGAGAAAATAACGTAACCATCTCTGGTAAAAATCATGGGAGATGTCATGCCGCAAATAACAGAGAAAAAAATAAGAAGACATTGCGAGAAACTGTGAAGAATGACGGAGAAACAGAGGACCTATTTATAAAAAAATGCATTTTACACTAGGCGTCAAGTGAGAAGAGGTCTCCTCTCACTTTTAGAGTGCATGTGCTATCTCATTTGGCTAAAAGAGAGAGCATGCGTCAAGTGAGATGCCGCCTAACACAAATAGGCTAGTGCAGGCGTTAACTGGATTGACTCCTCTTTTGTGGTATTTTCTGAAAACATGGTTATTTGCGTAATTTTCTCTAAAATATAATTATTTATAAATTTTTTTTTCAAAAATTAATTATTAAAAAAAAATCTTTTTTATTTGTTGCTTCCATTCGACCACCATCTTTCTTGGTTATTTGTCCATTTTCTTTCTCACTTTTTAAAACATCTTTTTATGTAATTAGTTTTTATCTATTAATCTCTCTCAAATTTAAATCTTCTAAGGTGTTTGTTTTACCTATTTCGATTCAGTAATTATTTTAACTATTTATCTATTTTTCTCTCACTTTTTAAAATATCTTTTTATCTAATTAATTTTTATTAATTTAGATGAAACATGAGAGAGATGGATGAAAGAGAAAAAGAGGAGATTGAAGAGAAAGAGAGGAGATGATACAGAATGTCTAGTAAAGATTTAATATGATATGACATATGAGCCCACACTTGATTTTTGAATAAAAATCAAACAAATTATTTATAAATAGTCTATAATTGATTTGGACCGCCTAAATTTAATAAAAATAAATCTATGATTAAAATTGACACTTAACCATATTATAAAACTTTTCCTTTTATATTGGTTACTTTATTTTTTTTCTTTCCAAACACAGCCAATTGCTAAAGTTTTAAAGGATTTTGCTAAGACTACCCCAAAGACACTTTTTAAAAGGAATGGAGTGGGACACATATTTTTTTGAAAATTTCAAAATATTTTTGAATTTATTTAAATATACATCTTCAAATATATAAAATCTCATTTTTTTTATAAAAAGTTAATTTGGAAATAAATTTTTGAATTTTTCTGCAATTTATTTGAAGATGTGTCTCCGAAAATATATTTAAAAGAAAAAGAATAATTTTTGAAATATTTGTTCAAACGATGTTCGTCTCACTGTAAACGGTTCGAACATATATTTTTGCGATGATCCATTTTAAACGGTTCTTATGTTAAAACTGCTTTTATGCGATGGTTCGTTTTGCTGTAAGATCTTCTAAAAGCATGCCTTTTACAAATCCATATTCTATCATGCTGCCTGAAGAAACATACCCATATTGAATTCAAAACTAATCTAAAGTGGAGTAGCCATTCCCTCTTGGTTAAAAATAAAGCAGAAAAAACCAGGGAAGAGACCAAAAGGTGAATAATCGACACATAGCTGGAAATTTTGTTAGTTTAAAAAAAAAGGTGATTTGGTTATAAAGTTGAAATTCTTATTGATTTGTATGCATGTGTTGTTTTCTGTCCGAATCTAAATTTCTGTAAAATGAGAAAAGTAAGGTTACTTCAATAGGTAGCCATTACCCTTTTCTAATCCACATCCACATATGGAACTTGGTGTCCAAAAATGCCCTACTAGTAGTTAGCTTCTACCACGATAAATAAAAACACCAACGACACAAGCATCAATCAACAATGTATGAAAAAATATTACATGCATCAATCAACAATGTATGAAAAAGTATTACATGGTTAAGTTCTATTTTCAGAGATATATCTCTGAATTAATTTAAAAAAAATTCGAAGATATATCTTTAAATTAATTTTTTATGAAAAATAGGATGTTG